TTATTTAACACTCATTTTACAGATGAACTGTCTCAAATGCATCAGTTCATTCTTATTAGTTGCTCTCTGGAGCTTAGCTTTGAATGAGTCCAAACTCCTCCTTGTCCATTGGGCCCCTTATGGGTCAAGTTCTCAGTGTTCTTGGGTTAATCAATTAGTGGAAGGATGGAGAAAGGAAGGCTGAGAGGGCAGGGTGTGGTAAGGAGGGCCGGTCTGAAGACAGGGCCTGGTATCGATGGGCAGGCCTGCAGTAGAGTGTAGGGGTATGGCCTGCAGAAGAGAAGCTCTAGTGACAAGAGCTTGAGGGTAGGTAGCAGGGTTGTGGGGCTTGAAGAGTGGGGGTGAGGGCAGGACTGGTCTTAGAGAAGACCATATTGACTTAGGCTTTGTCCTTCACTCCAGAGCATTCTAGGAGACACATACCCCTGATTTTTTGGATCAATCCCAATTGCAAAATATTATCTTTCTGTGTCAGACTATGACATTGGACAATTAAGTTCGCAAACTCATCCTAGAAAAGATGCTACATATCTCTGAATATCACTACAGTCACCTTAGAAGTACTCCCCTTGGGAAGCTATGCACCAATGCCAGCGCCTAGTCCACCCTTCAAAACAATTTTGGAACTCTTTTTTTGGAACGGCCATTAGAGCTTTCGTTGTATTACCCTTGATGTCCTCAATGTCATCAAAATGTCTTCCTTTCAATATTTCCCTTATCTTCGGGTAAAGAAAGAAGTCATTGGGGGCCAGATGAGGTGAGTACGGAGGGTGTTCCAATACAGTTATTTGTTTACTGGCTAAAAACTCCCTCACAGACAGCGCCATGTGAGCTAGTGCGTTGTCGTGATACAAGAGCCATGAATTGTTGGTGAAAGTTCAGGTTGTCTAACTTTTTCACACAGCCTTTTCAGCACTTCCAAATAGTAAACTTGGTGAACTGTTTGTCCAGTTGGTACAAATTCATAATGAATAATCCCTCTGATACTGAAAAAGGTTAGCAACATCATTGCAACAAGCTCGCAAACTTAATTGTCAGACCTCGTACACTTTCCAATTGTCCGTTTAGAAAACATTGACTGAGAATCATTGTAATGTTGAAGCGAGCCAGAGTTCTGCCTCAGATCACCCTGTCTGCTAGCCCCAACCGCCGGCAGATCTGCTCCTCGCATGAGCAACTGTGGCAACGGTTGAGACTGAGAATTCTAACACCTGTTTAGTTGTTTGCAGATTTTCAGTTCAAAGAGTAAAAATATACAACCGAGACCAAGCCTCACTGAGCCCTCAGAACCTGTAACCAGAGCCCTATGTGGCCCTGCCCACAGAGAGATCTGCGAGGACTGAAAAGGAACTCACTTATGTGGGAGCCTCCAAAGCGAAACAGCAGGTACGCCACACCAGTGTTTTCTTGCCAGGAAAATAATATGAAAATCAAATCAACGTTCTAAATATGTAGACTGTCTCTGGAAAGCCACCTAAGAACCTAGTAACAGTGATTGCCTCTGGGGAAGGGGCCNTGTGTGTGTGAGTGTTCGTATGTACAAACTTAACAAACTGCCCCTATAGTATTACTTCCTAATTGTTTCATTTCTCCCCACTAAGCCTATTCTTGTCTTTATATGGTTCTGAATAAAACACGTCTTCAGGAATTATTAAGCACAACCAGGTAGATCCAAATGATGTGTGTATTAACCATCTTGGTCCTCGTTTATTCATTCAACAAACATTTACCAATCACTTGCTATATACCAGGGACTCTCCTGAGGTCTGGAGATAAAAAGTCCAATAAGACATATTTTCTACCATAACAAGCTCCCAGTCTACAGATATTTACAGATGAGGACTTCAGTGGTTAACACGCAGAAGTTGGTGCTGTGGCAGAGCAATGCACCAGGTTTTATAAGAATAAGATAAGCCTCTGGAGAAGGTGATGCTTAAACTGGGTTTTGAAGCAGAAGCAGAGGTTAACTTGATGAAGGAGAGGAAAAAGGCGTCTGAACAGCATCTGCATTCGCCTGGAGGCTGAAAAAGCAGGTCCGCTTTGGGGAATTACAAGCAGTGCATTAGGACTACAGCAGAAGAGTAGGGTTGGAGATGGCGCTAGAGAGGCAGGCAGGAGATGAAGTATACGAGGCCAGGCTCTGCAGGCTCTGAGAGCTCAGGTAGGAAGTGTGGGCTTTATCCTGATGGCGGTGGGGAGCCGGTGAAGAGGGTAAGCTCAAGAGAGAAAAGATTAGACTTGAGTTTTCGATCATCCATCTGTTGAATGAATTAGACAGGGCAGACTGGGAGCAGGAAGGTGAGTTTTGAAATCAGAAGGGAGATAATGAGAGTCTGAACTCAGGTAACATCCGAGGAGATCCAGGAGACTCAAGGTTCGCGGGAGTGGGCAAACAAGGAAAGCAGCACCCCGTGGAACGGTGATTGGACAGGGCACATTTTGTCCGTGTGTGCATCAACCCCACCAACCTCCTGCCTGTACACAACTGGGATGAGGAGGAGTGTGCCAAGTAAGGTGCTGGGTGATCTCTGAATCTCACCTAATTCTCTAGTAGATGTCTATGATGCAGTATCATCCCCATTTAACAGATCAGAAATACACGGGCTTGTG